CCTCACAGCCCAGTTTACATACATTTACTGTATTTTACCTCTCTGTCTCTCCGCCCGGGATGTAGTACTCATCCGCATGTATCTTAGCCTTCGCTTTGAAACCCATCTAGTTTCCATTTTCTCAATTCCTAACACTTGTAGTTTGAAAAAATGATAAAAAAGGACATTGTGTGAATGTGAAAAACTCAAGGGACAGACTCATCCAGTCCTGCAAGACTCGAATTCAGTCAGATACAACAAGCTGAAATATTCTTTTGTCCGCGCGCGACTTTTGAGCATGTTTGAGCGGATGGAACTAATTGAGCCCGTACTAAACCAGATACAGACGAGTCGTGCCGTGTTCTTAAGTTGTATGGGCAATATCCTGGTGTAATGAGGACCGTGAAATTCGATCATAGCATGCAGCATAGAAGAGAAGAGAACCAAATATTCCGATATAGAACAGGATTCCTTACTTGAACTAGAAGAAATCCACCTCCCTCATCTGAACGAGGAAAATACCTTATCAAAACCGTACGCTTAGAGTAATTTGCATTTGATCCTCGTGTCGTACTTTATTTTTATAGCGATCGAAATGACGCACACGTGTTTTCCATCATGGTTTTAGTTTGGTCACAGTCATAAAAGCCGCATTTCATACGTGCCATTATAGAAGTGGATGAGGAGGAATAGCGATGGGCTTATATATCATAATCATAAACATAACATAATATTTTTTTACAGAAATGTGCTGACTGACGCTTCTTTATTCTCCAAATCGCCACCAAAAAAGATAAGCTTAATTTATACGGCGAAGAAATATTTTAACTGAAAATATAAATTTACTATCGGGATCTTCAACTGTATTCCTGGCTATTGAATTAACGTTCCATTATCCGCTCTACTTATGTTTAACTGCTGAAGGCATTCAATCAAGAATGAGCACCAAACAAACTCAATTCATAGTCTTTTTGTGGTTAAACACCTGTTTTACAAAATGCGGATATATTTTTAACCTTTTATGATCGATTTAACTTCAGACATGAATGTCTTTTATTGAGATAAAATGTCCCCAAATTTGTCTTAAACTTGTTGTTCGTCGCTTAGAAATCCATCCTCATTAGCCTCGGGTTCGTCTACAATTGCTTCGTGATACAACAAACTGGAAGGATAAAGAATAGCAGGGCTTGGCTTGTGATTGAATAGTGTGTTTTGAGAAAAAAGCTATATCACGGGCGTAGAGTGCATTTCACAGCCCCCTCACAGCCCAGTTTACATACATTTACTGTATTTTACCTCTATGTCTCTCCGCCCGTGATGTAGTCCTCATCCGTGCATCTGAATCTTTCACTAAGAAAAATTACTTAAAGCTACTTTTTAATTCCCAAAACTTTAAG